TATACTGGATTTGTTTGGAAGAGGGAACAACTATGTTTTGCAAACTGCAGGTTGAATTGAAGGTTTACATCAAAGTTGGTTTGTGTGGCTATAGGTGGGGCTGTTGTGAATGTGGGGTGTTTAAGCCAAGCTGAGAAACCCGTTTGCTCATGTGCTGTCCACTATGGGCTGAAGTGTAAGTGAAATTCAAAAATATCCCCTCCCTTTAAATTTTAATCTTCTTTTAAGACAGATCTGAATAAACTTTGAAAATCCTTTGAGGCTTCAGAGACTTCTGTATCAGTGGCATCAGCAAGAGCTGGATGGCTGCAAGCTGTTTTGTGAGGTGTTCTTGCACATCCAAATGCTGACTGGAGCCTAACCTTGAAGGCAGGCTTAAAAATGAATGCTTGGCTGTTGCCCATTTGTAATATGGTACAAACTGTGCACTGAGTTGCACTGTACAAACTACTGTGGCTTGAGTTGGGGTATTTTGAAGGGGATCAAGATAAGCCTTTTGGTGCATGCTTGGTATTTCATGGTAGGCTTAATGAGTTTTGCAGTGGAAATCTTTCCTGCTAACAAGACTGTGAGCTGGCGTTGCGAGAGCGCTCTGGCCAGTTGTGCTAGATGTGCTCTGCAGCTGCCCCAGGCTGGCTTGAGAGGCCAGATCTGTGGACACAGTGATGAGTAGTGGGCAACTAATTATTTATTATGCAGCAGTAATGCTCAGGAGTGTCTGTCACAGATTAGAGCCTGTCCTATTTAGAGGCTTGCAAATGTGGAATGAAGTGGATTTCCCTGCCCAAAAGAGGTTTGTGGTTGCAGAACTTAGTAATGAGCTCTGGTAGCTTTAAATTTAAGAGTCTGTATCTTTCAGTATAGCAAATAGAGACACAGTTTTGCTGTGGAGCTGGGCAGGAAGGTTTGGCTTTGCTTTTTAAGTCAGCTGGGAACTACATGCTAAGGCTTGTGTTAAAAGCACCAGGTATATTCAAAGATTGTTCATAAAAGCCATCTGCAAATCATCTGCAGTTTCCCTTTTTCCTTTTCTTACCTTTGTGTGCCTGTCATGGGTGTGCTTTTCTTGAAAGGAGCTCCTCTCTTCATTCTCCTGAAAGATAAATGTGACGATGGATGATTTCGCTAATTGTACCGTGCAGAGTCATCTGTATTTTGTTTGGTTTTATTTAAACTTCCTTTATACAGCATTTAACTCTGTTGGCTCATAGCTCAATAGCCACGTTAGCACAATGACAGACTGCCTCTGATTGTCATGTCTTTAGCCTTATTTTATATGGTCTGCAGAAGATGATGTATTTTGTCTTGCTCTTTCACTTTTCAGGTTCATAATGTCTGATATTTCCCTCCCTTCCTTTTTTTGCAGGTTGAGTGTATTACTTGCTCTGGTTTATACTGTCTTGATTGGAGAGAAAACAAGGTGTTCCTTGTTTTCTCATCACAAGTTTACATAAATGTAGTCACGGTTCTGAATAAATGAGAATTTATTCAGTATTTTTCAGAAATTTCAGAATATTCAGAGATTTTCCACCTGTGGAAATTCATAACACAATTTTTGGTCAGACGTAAATGCAATGAATAAGTTTTTTCATTAAAATGGTTCACTTTTGTGATTTTTAAGTCCTTTTCTTCCTCAAATATATTTCTCTTTTATGCTCTTTTCCCAAAAACTACATGCCAGGTTTTGAGCTCAAGGTTAAAAGGGAACGTTGTTTCTGGTAGATTGATGTTATGAAGTCATACCACATTTTTCATCACTGTTTGTTTGCCTCTGTGCCTGTAATCAGAATAGGCCTTTTCTTTTATGTTTATGGGTTGTGAACTTCCCTTTCCATTCTCAAAATTAAAGAGATTGTAAAGTATTATCGTGCACAAAACCATAGGTTGTGTCCTGTGTGTTATTATTTTGTAATGAAAATGCTGTGTTATCCATAGTCCCTTAGATTTCTCCTTTATTCACATGCTTACCCAGCAATATGTTCTCATAACTTCTCTTATCTGAATAGTTGTACTGCTCTTAATTTTTCTTAAGGGGGATTTCTGTGCCAAATAAAATTTGGTTGAGAGGCAGCAAATTCAGTGGGGAAAACTTGTGTAGTAAACATTAGCTTCAGGAACTGAATTAAATTTCTGCTTGCTCAGAATACATAGAGAAACACTTGTAAAACTTTGAGGAAAATTTTGCTTGTGGTTTAACAACTGAAACATAACTATTGAGGGCACTGTAACCTTTAGGTATGTTTAGAGAATCACTGATGTGGTTTTAGTTCTTCCCATCCTTGGCTTTGTCATTCTGCAGGTGGGACTATGCAGACTGTGTTGATTTTGGCAGGAACAATTTTGTGGAGTTTCCAGTGTACAAGTTTTCTGATGTAGTGTAAGTTTGCTCTTGTTGATTTAGTGTTATCAAAACTATTTTAGGCTGTTGACTGCTGCCTTATTGTTGGCATGTGCCAGCACTGTAATACATCCTGCGTAGAGATTAGTAACACTGAAACAACAGTCTAATGAAAAGAGAGAGGTCCCTACGCAGCAGGAGTAGGAACTTGCTAGTTCCTGTTGAAATAAGCAGAAAACACAAGTTCAACAAATTCTTTCTTCTCCCTGGGCAGAAGGAGCAGATTTAGCAATGAAGGGTTCTGGACATGGGCTGATTTGCAGCCTTGTTCCACTGAAGTCTGGATACATTTTTTTTTACCTTTCCTTGCTAATTGACAGTGCTAAGTAAATACTTCAAGGTACGAGAGCAAACTTAATTCTTTTTGGTTTATGAGATGCCAATCACAGAATAATATACTTTGGACTGTCTGTTATCTTTCCTTCTATCTCCTTATTCTTTCTCTGCCTCATTCTTTAGGTCTAGCTAGGGATATTGAAAAGAATATCCCTATATATGCTGTAGTGACTGTTTAGCCTTGCAACTGCTATAAAATAGCTCCAGTTGGTGTTGATTGATAACAGATTCCTGCTACAGGTTCTTGTTGGTGTTTTGTTTTTTTCCCTCAGTTGCTGGTGCTGGATGCCCTGATAAAGGGAGAGAGAAGTTAATTTTTTTTGTTGCTATGTTCATGGCTGTCCGTCAGATTAAGAACATAGTACATTAAGCATTGTAGATGACTGTTGGGTTGGATTACATCTCTCTCCCTGTATGTGTTAGTCAGTGTGTATTGACAGACACCTTCTAACCAAGCTTAGCCATATCAACGGCTGGGAAAATCTGATTTCTGCTGTAGCCTTGATTATTTTCTATGCTGTATCACAGGACTAAAAGTTAACAAGAAACATTGTTTCTGGACTCTTGCTATCAAGCTAAGAAGGGTGATTATAATGCAGGGCAGAATGAAACACAAACAATACTATCGTAAATGGCAGAAGTTATCATATTGGTATTTTGGCTCTCTGTGGGCAGTACCTTGTAGGTCCAGCTCAGCTTTCCCACTTAGGTCTGCTGCAGCTGACTGAAACAGTATTTACAGGTGTGAGTGACATGCTGGGGTAGGGAGGGGACCTTTAACAGGTCATGGTTAGCATTGTGATTCTGTACTCGGTCTGAAAACCAGCTCTGACCAAGGTGAAAAGTCATGCAGCTGAGCAGGATTATAGACTATAGTTCTAAACTGTGCAAACAGCAGCAGTGAAACTGGTCTTGTTAACTGGCTGATCGTATTTCTGGAATGATGCTGGTGTGGTTAAAACTCGAGTTGCAGACAAGCTTGAGCAGTTCCAAACCATTTTTCCTCCCAATCTTCCTCCTCTTTGACCTTTGGGAGACAATATAAATAAAGAAATCTCTCACACATACCATACTCTTGCCAGGAAAAGAGAAAGATCCAGTCGTTATCTAAGCCAAACTCCAGTGGCAGCTGTTTGCTGTTTCCTTGCTGTTTGCACCAGCTGTGGGCTTGGGGTTCGTATGTACAATGTGGTTTCTCCAACTTAAATTCCCACCCTCTGTACTCGGTGGCTGGGTAGTGGGATTATCACAATGATCCTAAGAAGGAGGGACTGCAATGATCCAGGTGCTCCCACTGTTCTTGATGCACTTCACCAAGCAGGCAGGAAAATTACGGATTTCTCTTCTTTCCTTAGAACATTCCAAAACTTGTTGTTCGGTCAGTAGAAGTTGTAGAAAATAATGTAGCTTTAAGTAACATCGGCTTCCTGAGCTAAGTGACATCTTGTTATTTGGGAGGAATTAGAGCTATTGATTGTAAGCCAGGAGGCAGATGGCTTGGCAGTGGCTGTGCCACGTTACCCTGGATGCTGGGATCAAACAAGGAGTGCGTTCGGGTGTTTCACCTCTTTGCTTATCTCACAGTTGCTGTGCACAAATGAGTCTACAAGATTTCTAGCATATTCTGAAATGCCCAAATCAACCCGGCTTTGTTACTGGTAGAGTTATATACCAGATTATAATACTCCAGAGAGAATTCAGAAGAACTGCATACAGGGTTCACAAGAAGAATATCTTGGATTGACTCTTAAATTTAGCACTGGAAGTTGTAACTGACCCCGACATAACCGCTTTAAAGCTGAAGTAATGTCTGTTCCTGAGACAGGCTGAAGCCATATCGCTGATGTTTGGGTTTTGTGTGTTTTGTTTTGTTTTGTTTTGTTTTTTAATGTGTCCTGCCTGTTACTTAGTAGTAGCTCTTTATAAACTGTGATTTATAGAGCACTTCTTTTAAACAAGCAAATAATTTCTTTCTATCACAGACCATAAAAGCTAAATACTGTTTTGGGACTGTTAGAATAGGTACCACAGTCCTGTCATTTGTAATATTCCTTCATGCCATTTTGCACAGCAGTCAGGAGATAGCCCTGCCACGAGAGGATCTTTAGCTGTGTCACTATTGATGTTACCTGCTAGAACTCTTCAGTAGGCATTTCTTATAATGTTTGATGAATGAATGAATGCTAATGCTTTGGGCTGTAAAATAGTCTTCTGACTCTGTAGGCACTCAATGAAATGGATTATTAGTTTTGTTTCCTTTTTCCAGATGGAAATGTCAGGAGATTATATTAATACCGAAGAATACCCCACTGAAATTCATGATTACCTCACAGCATTTGAAAAATCTCTTGGCTCTGTAGATGAGATGCTGAAGACAATGATGTCAGTTTCCAGGAGTGAGCTTCTCCAAAAGGTAAATAATCTTCCTTTTGACAGCCTTTTTGGTGTTACTACAAGAATACCTGGTACCCCAAACTGAAATAAAAGGGTCTATTAGGCTAGCCACTGCACAGAGGAGTAACAGATATGACACTTCTGCCCTCAATACCTAGATATTTGGAATTACTACATTTCTAAGTTATCTAGATGGTCTTACAAACTAAATTGTGAAATATCTGCTCTTCCAAGCCGAAAAGTGATGGTCTTACTAGTTGAGTCACTTGGGTAGAGGACATACTTGCTTATTCCTGACCTGCCTTAAAGTGCATGCCGAGTGCTCTTTCATAATGGAGAGGTCATTCACATTTTTGTCTGAGGCTGTTTCACAACAAGCTTAATGGAACTTGGTATACTCAGAAGGATATAAAGGTGAATTGACAGCAGGGAGAATTGATCTGATTCTGGAAGTCTAGACTTGCAGAACCTGGTGTTTGAAAAACTGAGCTGTCTCCCCTAGCTATAAGCATAAGTCTGTAATACGAGTTTTTTTCAGGGAATAAAGACAGAGCAAGGTACTGCCTGAAGACTTCACATAAGCCTATCTTTTAATGTTTAAAGCCTAACATGTAATTTATTTCTGCAGGGCAAGAAAAAGCCAGTACTTGAGGGAACTTCTTTATCCTCTGAGGGTTTCTAACACAAATAAATTATGAAGAAAACAGTCTTGACAACATCAGTCTTTTGACAGTATCCATGTTAGAACTAGTGAGCTGTACAATGATGTTATCAGAGTTTCTGGAAGTCTTATAGGACTAAAATAATAAATTGACTTTGACAGTCAAAGAAAAAACCTCATTACCCTTATTCTTCCTTTGCTGTGCAGACCTAAGTATTCCAGCATGCATTGAACACAGTCAACCATGTGTAGTGTTCATGTTCATTGCCTGTCTGTGGTATACTATGTTCACATTTGAGCTTCAGCAATCTTGAGACCTGGAGTTTTTCCTTCCATGGATAGCAAAAACTACTTTGAATTCATTTTCTGTGGAAAAACAGGGATTATTTCTGACTACAGGAACAATAGTCTTAGAGCTGTGTGCCAAGAGACTCTGTGCTTTTGGCCATGTGGGACTGTGGCATTTAACATGAAACTGGGAAAATGATGTAAATACTGGCAGAGGGGAGGATGGTTCTGTGATGGCATGGAAATAAGCATAAACATGGTCTCAGCCAACTTGTGGTGCAAAAATGTGCTCATTTGGTGTGTATAGTTTTTTACGAATATATTCACGATTATGAAATGTGGATGTTACTAAAATCTGTGCATGTGTTGCTCAAAAAAACGTGCAAATGAGGTGCTTTTTTTTTCATTCTAGTTAGATCCTCTTGAGCAAGCAAAGCTGGATTTGGTTTCGGTGTACACATTAAATTCCTTGTTCTGGGGTAAGTATGTGGTATTTCTGTATGTAATATTTCTGACTGCCATTTGAACACCTAGGCAGCTGCAAGCAATACATCATCATATTTCACAGCCAGATAATTAGATAACTCCTAATTACCCCAAGGACCCAAATTATTGCCATCCATAGGGTAAATGATTTTGAAACTCCAGATCAAAACTTTATGTTTACAAAAGCTGGCTTTGTACATGCATGAGGGTGACTTTTTTTCTGCTTTTTTTTGTGGCAACCTTTTCTGTCCTTTAAAGGACAGAAAGTTTAACCATATTAGGTTTTGTTTTAGCTGCAGTATGATGATAACAGCTTGTCAGATACTTAACAACACAGTTAAATTCAATTCTTATTATATGGAAACTTTTATATGGAAACTACAGTTTTCCTATGTCACTTACTGCATCCTCAGTCACAGCACCCTTCAGTTTCAAAAAACCTTTTTTGTTTGTTTTTTTTTTCTTGTAGTATACTTGGCTACTCAGGGAATCAATCCAAAGGAGCATCCAGTGAAACAAGAACTGGTAAGATTCTTACACATGCACTGCACGCACTGCAATATCTTACTTGCCCACACCAGTTAACTCATCTAGAAGTAAAAAAAATGTTTATATCTATGTTTAAAGTTGCTATGTTGCTGTAATAGCATGCTTATGCTACGTGGTCTTATATAACTGTTCATATGCTCTGCTGGGCTCTCTAAACAAAGAAAATAATAGTTTTAGCTCCAAAAAGTACTGTTTAAAGCAAAGTTGTAGAGCCTGCTGAAATTAGGAAAGAACAAGAAGATGAATGGTGTCATCTTATTGTTTCTCCACCTTTGAGAACTGGATTCTGAACAGAGCAGCTTTTCACTTCTATCTGTTAAATGGAAAAATGTTACATGCCTGATAATAATTTATAACTTCCAGTATGGCATTTTTTTTTTCTTATAAATACTAGGAATCATGTTAATCTCTGAGGCTGCCTTTTTTTTTACTCTTGTATGACTCTGAAAGTACCGTGTGGCTGATTTACTGGCGAAGACGGGAAGGAGCCCCCCTCCCCCTCCCAGCTCCTCCATTAATTCATTTTCTCAGCAGTAAAGAATCCAGTTCGGCAACAAAGCTAAAAGCTTTTTTGGCACCAGTTGTATGTGTATTGTCCAGTAATTCTGCATTAGTGACATATTTACAACCTGTAATAAATCTTTTAGGTTTGTCTTTATATTCCATTTAGATGCATGACTACGGTATAGGAGGGTGGCTAGCTTGAAAATTCTGCTGACTTAAAAAAAAATCAAATCATTTAGCCTGATGAAAAAATAGAAATCAAAACTTAGAGCTACCTATTTTAATTCCTGTATAAATGAAAATATTAAATCTGGGCGGTAGTAAAATAGTTACCTTAAATGTAATCCTTACATAATCCTTGCAGTGGAATGGAAGATAGGACTGAAAAATGTGGAAAGCTAGCCTGAATAACAAGAATACTTCCATTTTTAATTTTGTGAGGTTCTCAGTAGTCTAGACTGTATAATATTAAAAAATGGATCAGTTAATATTTCATGAGCTTTCAGTCAGTTTCTTGTTCCTCCTATATTATATAGTGTCTGAACATGGTGTTAATTTAGTGATACTAAAATATAAATTTTATCTCTTCTGCTGTGGCTATTTTATGCTGGTATTTTACTTCACAATTGCTGCCATTTTAACTGAAGAATGAGTGAATTATCATAGCCTAGATTCTCAGCCTGTTCTCTCTGCCTTTTACAAGTGCCAAGGTGAACGAATGCCCACTGCTTCCTTCCAAGAGCATCATGATGTTCTCATTCAGGTGCAAAGGGAATTAAAAAAGACCAATCTGTCACGATTGTTTTGTTTTTACAATTGCTCTCCTCATGTATATAGAGGGAGTACAGGGGGATTCAAAGTGTATTAATAAAATGTGCATTTAAGCTATCGGAGTTAATTTCTCCCATCACGTTGACATTTGTCAGCTCCTTTTTCCCAGGCTGGTACATGTAGGTTTGCCATCTGTTCTCATTAGCTGTCTTGGTCACCAAAGAAATATCACAGTCTATCATGACTTCAGACCCTGTAAAGCTGGCCTCATTAAAGTGATGGTTTTCATACAGGGAGAGTGGCCAAATTTTGACAGATCAGTTGCTTATAAGTCACTGAAGAATGGAAAAGCAGTTCTGTGGTGTAGGTCTTGTAACTTTTGTTCCAGATTCAGAGAGCTGTCAGTGGCTGTGTGAGAAATGTGTGTGTTACATAATATCAACATTTATTTGGTTACCAGTATTCATAAATGTTCTGTTAATCCACATTTATGATTCAGGTATCAAAGTGCTATCTATGTGTGTGTGTGTACATACATATGTTACTGTTGCTTGTATTACACTATCACCTAAAGGCCCTACACTTCAACTCCATATTAGGCTAAATATGTAGTTCTGAAATCTATCAACCAAACATTCATGTATTTTACAGAATTACTGTAAGTGACCTCTCTGGTCAGTGAAGAGAAGCAGCCTTTTAATGGGGTGATTCCCATTTTGGAGGGGTTTAGTTACGCTCTCAAAGTAATTTTCTTTATTGATTGCAGATGTAGATGAGGATGAGTAGGCACATAAATAAGATTGCTAATCTAGGAGGGTGTGCTTGGGTGGGATTGAATCCAACCCATACTTTGTTAAAAGACAACAATCTTAATCACTGAATGACTGTGGTAGGCTAAGATGGCAGGAAAGCATCCCCTTGCTTTTTGGAATGGCAGTAGAAACAGGCTTTGTTATTTATGGTCATAAAAGGAATTTCTGGTACAGCTGGAAATTCATCAGGCTGCTTTAAAAAGATAATTGATAAGGCCCCTTGACCATTTTAGGATCTTAGCCACAAGACGACTTTGTAGTCACTTGTGTAATGCTTGTAACATCTTTGATTTTCTATAAGATGCTTTTTTGGCTTCATTTGGATGTGCTGTGGATGTGTTTGTGGTTTTTTTTATTTTTTTAGTTAGGCAGTATAATTAATCTACAAATATGTCAAATAGCTAAATATTATTTTGCTATCTTTATGTAGGCAAAACTCCAAATTGAGTTCTGTATTTTGTTTTCTAACTTTGCTTACAAGAACAATTGTCACCTTGCTGTAAGTCAGATGCAGAGTCTTCATTTCTGTAGGACTTCATACTCCTAAGACAGTGAATGTCATGCAGATACTAGTATACTGTGATGGAAAATCTGCCAAAGGGGAAGCCTCAAGTTTGCAAAAAGCAAAGTCGTGTATGTATTTAAATGATGCTGTTTTTCAGGGTATTATAGTTACAGAAATGCACAGTGTGGAGAGCTTGTACTCATTCATTTTATTTTAGCATCAGTCTTCGGAGAATGGTGTGAAATATACTTTTTTTTTTTTTTCCCCTCTTCCTAGGAGAGAATAAGAACATACATGAACAAGGTCAAAGAAATAGCAGACAAGAAAAAAGCATCCAAACTCAATAAAGGAGCTGCTTCTAGGTTTGTAAGAAATGCACTCTGGGAACCAAATGCTGAAAATGAACGTACCTCCAAAACTCCTGCTAAAGGAAAAAAGAGAAAGATGGACTAATTTTTTGTTTTCTTTTATAATAAACTAAAGACATTAGAACTTATTTTGAAATGTGTTTTTTGTACTGCATGCATCTTGCAGAGGTGCTGTATAGTAACATCTTGGTTAAGTTATACTTAAGAATTTGTCCAGAACACTTGTCATGGAGGTGATCCCACTCTGTGTGTCTGAAAGAGCCACTGGATGTGTCAGAAGTCACATTTCATTATTCAGATGATGATAACCTGATGTACAGTTGCTGGTAATAGATACTTGTGATGTTCTGCTCATAAGGCCTAAGAATTTTAATTTTTTTATTTTACTGCTGAATGATTGACACTTTTTTATATGTCTTTAATCTCCTGAATATTAAAAAGTCTCAAACAATGCTACTCAATCTGTGTTTATCAAAGAGTCATGTTTACTTTCTCATTACATCACTGTGTGAAATGCTGTGTTTGCAGAGTTTTGCAAGGTTTATTTGCTGTGTTAAAGTGTTTCCTTTTCAGCTTCTGAACGTGACTTCATGCCATATTCCCTTACTGCTGTTGCCTCTGATAAAATGGAGCTTCAAGGGCCACAAACAAATTGCCTGGCTTCCACTCTAAGCCACTTTGCCTAGTCAATGGAAAAAAACGATATCCCCACAGGGCAATTTGTAGTGTCCAAAAAAGGGAGCAGCCTGAGGACAGCTATTAGGAGACAGCACATGGAGGAAACGTGGTTGGAGTTTCGGTTGCAGTGCTCAACCCTTACTGCTCACGCTGTGTGAGAAATGTGCTCTGAGGTGGTAGGAGTTGAGGCATCCACTGCTATTTCTCAGATCTCCACCAGCAAAAGCATTCTCTGGTGCAATAAAACTACTCCTCTGTCTTGCAGATTTTCTTTTGGTTTTCCTCAAAATGTGAAGCTTAGTCACTTGGGAGAGGAGGTGTGTTTCTTCCTTCAGAAGAACCTCACTGGTTCATTTTCCAATACACTGCAAAGGAAAACTCAATTATCTGCCTCAAAACTATTGAATGCTTACCAGTCCTGCTTAGGAAGGAAAAATAAATTTTTGTTCATCAAAATGTAGTTGGGCAGCAGTCTAGAAAACTGTTTGGGAAGTAGCATTAGTGTGAATGATTAAATGATAAAAACACATGAATCCAGTGTACTTATAATGCTGCAAGCTGAATGAGGTGCAGTGAATCCTTGCTGTTCTTACAGAGTTTACTGTGTCCTGCAATGCAGAATATGGACAAAAAAAATTTAATTGGACACTAAAATAAAGGTTCTGTCATTGACTAAAAATATACTTGAAAGTAAGCGTTCAATATATTGACAAGTTGATTAAGCTCAAATAATTGTTGTATATTTCTAGAAGCTTTTTAGTGACTGGTATGAATTTACACATTTTTGTTTCTGATAAATTCTTTGACTAAATAGAAATTTTTTCAACCTGTGTTCCAAGCTGTGTTCATGTAGGTACCTAACTTCACTGCCTCAAATCTACCAGACCACTCAGGTGAGTATCCATGCCAAAGGTGGGCACGCATTTGGCAGCTGCACGCAAAATGAGAATGCTTTATTTCTACAGGCTATTGTCTTGGCTATGCCAGATGAAAGAGCTGTTGGATTCAGGGGTCTTATTTTGTGCAGTTAAGGTTAAAAATGCAAAAGACCCAAAGTGTTTGAACAGAGTTTATTGGGAAGTCTGTATCTCCTGTCTTCTCCTTCTTTCAGCCTGATACTAAAAATGACAGTAAAGGCTTTGTGTGGATGGAGAGGTTTGCCATGTGCAAAGCATGAGGTTCAAAATGTTAATCTCCAAAACATACACTTAAAAAAAGAAAAAAGGCCAGGTGTCCTATGAACTAATTGGGAAAACAATAGCACAGAAGTGGTCTGAAGTGGCACAAGCCAGAGCACTTTAATGTAGAGATTTTCTAGGAGATAAGGTCTTGCACTTGGAGAGGCGTTGCCTTGAGGAAACGCGTAGCTGAGCTTGTATTTATGCACAGTGCTGTTAATCAAAAGGGGATTGAAGGACGTTTCCATTACATGATTTTCTTCTTAAGCTTCAATTATAGCTTTTGTTTTAAAAGGATAATTTCTGAAAAGGCTCATAATTCAGTGTCCAGTAAAGTACACAGGTCTCGCTGGTAAATGTTTAAACAAGAATAATGCAAGGCTGATAGCCAAGACTTAGGTAGAAGTCCATCTGGTATCATTAATTACATACAGGTATTTGGCATTTGTGGTAGGGCACTTAAAATAGATGTAACAAATGCAACTTTGTAAACTTTTGTACAAAACTTTTTAAGGCTTGTATCATTGAGAATGGCTGCTCACAGCCTGGATTTGTGGCTCTTCTAACACAAAGAAAACAACCCAGAGGAATGCCCTGCAAACTAAAAAGCATCATCATGTTCTTCTTGCTAACAGCCTTATGCAAAAGTGGCTTGAAATAGATCAGGCATGCTAAGTGTTTGGGGTTTTTCTATATCACTGAAGGGTTCTTGGAACTTCTGGAGTTCAGGATAGCTATTTAACTTTACTGAGGTCTCAAATGGAAAATGACTGAACTTTGTTTGTGAAAGTTCCTCCCTGGAAAAGCTACATGATTATCAGAATAAAAAATAACTTTCCTGCCTCACGATAGGAGGCTGGTGAGGAGAACATTCATTGCAGTGGCTGTGTGCAAAGGGCTGTATGAGCCATAGTTTGTAGAATGGTTCTACAGGGCTAGAAGGGACAGGAAACATCTGGGAGACGTCTAGTCCCAGTGCTGTATGTGCTGAGTGTGGTGCAGAAACACCAATCCTGCAGTAGTGAATGCTAATGTAATGCAGAGTTGCTGTTGTAATAATAAGTTATTAGTACCAGTGAATTAAAGTATTAACGAACTTAAGGTCTTTAAAGAGATCAGTAAAGTGCGTTTGACACCTCCTTGCTTTGCTTTATTATGGGTTAATTAATATTAGACATACCAGCTAAGAGAAGCACTAACAAAATTGCTGTTTCTGAGAATGCTTTTAACTAATGCAATGAGAAAATTATGTAAAACTCTAAACAGTAGGAATATATGTAGTTGGACTGACTAGAGTTAATCAGTGTCAAATTTACAAGGCCTTGTGTTCAGCTTTTTAAGTTAAAAGTCAAGATAGTCTTTATGTTGTTAAAGATTGTGTTTTGATACATACACTTAATGTGTTCCAAGTTCTTGGAACTTTTCTTGCTTCTTAGTGTTTGAACCAATAAAGTGATTTTGGTTCCAAGCTTACCAAAAAAGTACTTCAGGATAGAAATGAAAACGCAATTCAAGATTTTAAGCCCTACTAGGGTTAGTGTTAAATAACTACATTAAAACTGAAAACAGCACCTGGGGGCATCTGGGAAGCTCTATGCTTGGCAAAATTTGGAGGTCATTGGATAGTAGGGACTTGCCTCATTGACTTTAAAATCAATGGGAGACTTTCCACTTGGTCCTCAAGGACTTTGGTTCCTGAATTAGTGTGGCTTCTTTCATCTGCTGCAGTTGGACAGGAAAAGTAAATTAGTTACCAAAATCAAGGGCTCAGAACTTTGTAGTAGATGTCTGGCCACTAATTGGTGTTTTTTCAGTCAGTGAATTATCTTTTTCTTATATCTTTATATGTGTAGTGAAAGATTTCCTTCCCACATACCTGTGCTTCTCCAAAAAAATGTTACAGGGAGAGAACTGCATGTGTTTAACTGTCCCAGCTATGTAAAGAGATTTTTGGCATAACAAAACGGGCACCTTTGGCTGGAGAAACTAGGTCTTCTCTCCACTGTGTAAAGTTTCTGCAGATGTTCTAGAAACCCCCCTCTGACAGAGTTTACTGTGACTGTAAACGAAGGAGCAGTCTTATTAGAACTTAAATTCCTTCCCTTATAAATCCTAGCCATGAGTTGGGAAGTCAGCACATCAGTGGTGCTTATTTCTAGTATTTGATATTTTTATTGCTGGAGAACTGCATCCTCAAGAGTGGATGCTTTATTAGGTTACCCTATTTTGTCTTGGCCTTGAAAATTAATACTAGCATGAGGCCTTGTCAAAAAGTATTTAATGTTGCAGTTTCATTGGAAATCTCAAAATATAGTTATCTGGAGTTATAAAAGGTAATTAGCTCAGAATTAAGAATTTTCTTGGATTTAAAAGAGACTGTTACAAATGTAAAGGGAAATCCTGGTTTTCACAGTAAATGATGTACTTTGCGCAGGGATAGATGATGACCTGGTTCTGCAGCCCTAGCAGAAGGGATTTTGGTTACCTGGTTTCCTATCAGCTGTTGGCCACAGGAAGGCTTTTGGGAGTTGTGAACAGTAAACTCCAGTCTGTAACTGGAAACGTGGGTGGAGGTATATTGGTGCAAGTGGCATTCAGTGGCATAGGGTTCCTTCTGGCAAGATCTCGCTGAACTTTTGACTCAATTCTTGCAGATTCTCCTCTGCTGCAGGCAACTGCAGAAACCCCTCACACCCACAAAAAAACATTCCTCTGTTCCACATTGCCTCTAGTTGGGATATGTGCCAAGTTATCCATGAAGAAAATGAAACAACTTGATTGGAATGTCATTTCTTTCTTCCATCAGACATGGCTGGCTAGTAATGTATAGATTCTTTAGAGAGCTAAAGCGTAAGGAACCAGTAGCAAAGTATTTTTGATAAAAATCAAAAGTTGAAAAAGAAAAAAATTAACTTCAGCTAAACAGTGACATGCACATCAGAATATAATGGCAGAAATGACCGTGGGGCTTTGTGGAGATGTTCTGCTTCTCCACAAGGGTAAGTCTGACAAACCTCAAGCCAAAGAAACTTTCCACCCTAGAGGGCCAAAATAATTGAAACTGGTTGTATCCCAAGTGTGGGCAGGTTATTCCTTTGTAATAAACTGACATGTAAAGATGCCAAGACAGGGCAGTAGTTAAAAAGACTGTGTATGTTTCCTAGTTAAAAACTTACTTGCCAGTGATGACAAAATTGTTGGGCTACAGGATTTTAGGGGCAATGACACA